GGGGGAAGGGCTCTGCCCGGGCTGTCGGGTGACTGACGCTCCCGGGGATGACAGGAACGGGGCTCCAGCGCGGCCAGGCCGGGCTCTGCCCCGGGAGAGGGGACAGGGGGCTGTGGGTGTGCGCGCTGCTGCGCTCCCTGCACACGACTCCCCTCGGCTGCACAGTATTGAGTTTTGGGTTTGACACCGAGCCCTTGTTAAGAGCTCGAGGTGATACTTTCTGAAAATACAGCCATTGCTTTTAATTTTTTACCGAACTTTGGGTGAATATCGGTGCTGTTTGGCATGTGCCATTTCCCTCCTTGTGTCTTATTCCATTATTATTCTTCTATCAAATATCTACAAGGTGTATTTCTTGCCCTAAGTAGCCCGTACATCTTATCCATCAAGTTCCCAACCAAACTATTGGTTTAATTAACATAGTGTTAATTTTGGTGCTATAAGAAATTGTTATTGATACAAAGGTGCAATTGCAGAAGAATCCAGATTTTAAGGTAGTGGAGGGCTGACTTGGTGAGCCTGCTCTGTGTGTGTGTGTATATATATATGTATGTATATATATATATGTGCTGTAGTGTGTCCTCTCTGGCTTCCAACTGTAGGAGTAGATCCTCTTTTAGTCTTGTAAAACTGCTTCCTGTCTGAAGTCACTTTGTTGAGGGTGCTCAGCACACGATCGACACAGAGTAGAAGAAATTAAAAGGGCAGCAGCACGTATAACCCAAGTCAGGCCGATCAGGTAAAAATCCTGATACAATCAGGGTGGCTTGCGGGGCAGCCTGGCTTCACATGGGAACACAGTGCTGAGCTTATTCTCTGGAATCCTTTGAGAAATCACTTTAGAAAGGAGAAGATGTAAGTTTTATCTCCTTTGATCAAAAACGAGCGAGGTCAGTGTTGCCTTGTCAATACTGAGGGAGGAAAATGGGTAAATATAGTTGTCATTTAATCTCTTGCAGGAGATCAGTGCCTGCACTTACTTCAGACTAATTAGCACGGGATTAATGGATCATCTCTCTAGTATCCAAATAAGCACAGCAAACTTTGATTGTCCTTGATGATTCCCACTTGTCAGGGCAGCTGTAGTGTGTTAAATCCTGGCTGTACCCCGAGCTCTGGAGGGATCGCGGTGAGTCGGGCGGGTGTGGAGCTGGGGACCTGTCGCGTGGGATATCAGTGGCCCTGGCAGCCACCTGGGTAGCCCTGGGGAGCTGCCATGTCGAGGGGGGTACAGCTGCTCACATACTCTCAGTATTCCTTCTGCTTAAAAATCTTGCAGGGTCGGTGTCCTCAGGGCAGTGATGTCGTAGCTGTTGGATGGGTTATAAACCCAGCGTAGAAGGATCCTTGCATTTGCTCCTGGGTTGTGTTAAAGTTTATTGCTGCACCCTGACACGTACCCAAACATGAGTTTCATCATCCCCCAGCTTATCTCCCTCTCGTGCCTCCTGCCATGAACTGTGGGTGTCTGACTTAAATGGACACGGGCAGGTTGACATGGGCTTTTGATACTGAATTGGCCCTGAGTTCTATCATTGGTTTATTACTCTGTTCTTTTAATACTTTTCCCCCCCTCTCCTTTGCCACTCTACAACAGAGGGAAGAAACTCTGATCATGCAAAGCACTGGCAGATATAGACAAACCCCATGAAAATACACTAACTCCATTTGCTTTATGTGCAATGTCAACTGAAGCTGGGACAGATTTTGTTTTTAAAGTCTGTTTAATCTTGTTAACATGGTATCTCAGATCTTAACACTTTGAGGAAGTTAACCAAAGACTTAACTAGTGACTAGTAAAGTTTGTGAGTACTTCTTCAAACCTCTAATAATTTCCTCCTTTGAACTGTTCCTGAAGATCATACTTTTGTCCAAATAAATTATCTCCTCCACATCTGTGAGGAGTGTATGCTGGTTTTTATGCTTTCTCCCTTACTCTTCTTTTTAGAAGAAAGCCTAAACCTTTCCTCACTCCTTTCTTCATGTTGGAATTTTAAATTGACTGAAATTGTGCTCTAGGGGAAAAGTATTTCACTATTTAAAAAAAAAAAAGTGTGTTCATGATGTAAAGGAAGCGACAAAACTTTTTAAACTTAGATCCAATATGGAAACATGTTTTTAATTTGGTTTAAAATAAAAAGATCCCTTACCCATTTCCAGATAATATCAATTTTCAGATAAAGATTGGGAATGTGTGTCCTAAGTGTGCCAAGAGTGACAATCAGTGACATCTGAGCCTGGAGTGAAAACGATGAAAAAATGTGGCTTGTGTGGCTATTGGCTCGTTCTAGAAATGGTGGTAGGAATGTATTTATCTTTAGGATATATAAAAATACATAATATATAAATGGTTGCATTCCATCTCAAGACTCTGTCGAGTTCATAACCACAGTCATGAATGAATGTCACTAACATTTTGAGAGTTAATTATGGCACTAACCTATACATGCTTTAGGGAACACATGGGTTTTTTTTTTACCTGGGAGTTCTGAGCAGCTGGAGGGCTGAGCCACTTGCAACACCTCCCTTTGCAACCTCAGACAGATACTTCAGATTTCTTTCTGCCCTGTTAGAAAGATGTTTTGGCTGAAGCACACCTGGAAGGACACTGCACTGAATGATCCTTTACATCTCATGCTTATTTATTTGACTTCCCCAGGGCCCCCGGCAAGCCTTTTCCAGCCACCCCGTCGCCCAGGCCTGGGAACTGTTGGGAAACCCATCCGCCTCTTAGCCAACCACTTTCAAGTTCAGATCCCCAAGATTGATGTTTATCACTATGATGTAGATATCAAACCAGAGAAACGCCCCCGGAGAGTGAACAGGTACGAGCTGTTTAATGAAAAAGAAGTTAGGAAGTGTGTATGCCTCCGTTTAAGAAAACTGTACATCCAAGGAATTCTTCACCTGCTGAAGGCCGGTGTGTGTTCACACTGTGATTAGCAGTTGCTTCTCAGTGAACTCTAATACAATATTCTCCTTATTTTTGTGAAGATGTTTTGCAGTTGGCCTGTAATCTGGAAGGCTCTGGGAAGGGTACTGAGCGTTAAACTACAGCTGGTTTTATTTCCCAGTGAATGTCTCTGATAATTATTCCACAGTCTATTATACAAACTTGTAAGACTGTTGCTGGATTTTCTGTTCTTCAACCTAACTGGATAAATCCCTGTGCAGAGAGGTGGTGGATACCATGGTGAGACACTTCAAGATGCAGATCTTTGGTGACCGGCAGCCTGGGTACGATGGCAAACGGAACATGTACACGGCGCACCCGTTACCGATTGGCCGGGACAGGGTAAGTGTGACCTGAAGTGCTTTTAAGTTTCTGTGGGAAAACTGTTACTGTGTCATTTGAAAAATGTTCTTTTATCAACATAAACCCAAAATGCTGCCCCAGGCATTAGTGCAGTCTTGGAAATGACAGACAGTGCCAGTCAGGGATCTCTGGGAACTTATTGATGTTCTACTGAAATTTGTCTTCTTCAGGTTTCTAATTCCCAGCTCTTTAGCTGGAGAATCTGTCAGTGATCGTGTGAATTTGTATGTTGTGCTCTTGCAGCTACAAGTTGAGTTGTTTGGGGGTTTTTTTTCACCCTGACATAAACTTTCTCTTTCTGTGTTCTAACTCTTATTCTGTTCAAACGGGAAAGCAGTTGTAGATGACAAATATGCTGGTTTGGTTTGGCTGCACTGATGAGACACATCCTCCTGTTCCATAAGAACACCTCAATCAGCTGTGCTGGCCCTTTGTTTCCTGGGCCGTGCTCACCAGCACCCTGTCTCTGACAGACTGGTACCAGTGTGAACCCGTCCTGATACAAAACTCAACCCCTGTCTACTCTTCTCCCCAGGGATCTGGTTCCTGTTGGTCCAGTGCCGTGAGGAGTCTGTAAAATGAGTTCACATTTATGCTTTGGGCTGATGGTGTGTGAGATTATCTCAAGTTCTGTGCTAGCACTCTGATATTTGTGTTTTCTTTTTGACCAAAAGGATTTTTTTCTTCCCTTTTGATTCACAAGACATCTTGCTATTAATTGTCTGACTTAAAAAAAACCACAAAAAACCCACAAAAAACCTCACAGTTCTCCAGAGCTTTGATGACACCATGCTAATTACTGCTTAAAATTTACACTTAAAGATACCTCAGTGCAGTTTCTCAGGTTACTAAATCACAAGCTTTTGAAATACTAAGGAAACCATCTGTAATATTTTAAGAGAATTACACAAAGTAATAATCAAAAATACAGATTCAAAGGATACCTAGGAGAAAAACATAAGGTTAATTAGTGTTGTGATAGTCTGTGATCCATAACAAAAGCTTGTGCTTAATTCTTTTCTATGTCAGGTGGATATGGAGGTGACACTTCCAGGAGAGGGGAAGGACCAGACATTTAAAGTGTCCATTCAGTGGGTGTCAGTCGTCAGCCTGCAGCTGCTGCTGGAAGCTCTGGCAGGGCACTTGAATGAAGTTCCTGAAGATTCTGTACAGGCTCTTGATGTCATTACCCGGCACCTTCCCTCCATGAGGTAGGTCCTGCTGGTGACTTCCTGGCTGGGTTAATGTTTGTGCTGCTGTTCTGCTGCTGTTACACTTACCCACGGTAGGAGGGATGAGGGATGAGGTTGTGTAATTCAATGCCTGCCTTACGAATTTGCACTAGAATAGGGAAATCTGATCTGAACTCAGGACTTGTATCTGCTGGTCATGTTTCTAACAGGAATTTGCTGTAACCTTTCCAGTTTTGCTGTCGGTAAAGGCTTTGTGTGCTTGCCATGAGTTAGCTCTAACAGTTCTAGTGCAGTGCAGAAATTTACTTCTAAACACTGTCAGCATGAATGTAAAAAGGTGTATCAGAAGGGAATGAGCAAAGCATTAATTTTCTTACTTTTTACAGGTACACTCCTGTGGGTCGGTCCTTTTTCTCCCCCCCTGAAGGTTATTACCACCCTCTGGGTGGTGGTAGGGAGGTCTGGTTTGGTTTCCACCAGTCAGTCAGACCTGCCATGTGGAACATGATGCTCAACATTGATGGTACGTAGGGAATTGTCTCACTAATTTAACAAAATTCTTGCTGCTTCGAAATTAAATGTCCTCTTTTTTTCACCTTAGTGTCAGCAACTGCTTTCTATCGTGCCCAGCCTATCATTGAGTTCATGTGCGAGGTCTTGGACATTCAGAACATCAATGAACAAACCAAGCCTCTTACAGACTCCCAGCGTGTCAAATTTACCAAAGAAATCAGAGGTAAAGGCTCGTTCTAAAGCTGCTGCAACAAAACACTGGAAACCTGCTTGTATTACATTGTAATGACAATTTGCCAGGCACTCGGGCAGCTGGCCTGTTCCTTTTTGCCCTCGTCTTTCTCAAAGGTGACTCCTATGCCTGCATTTATTTAGGTGACTTTTGTGTTGGGTTTTCAGGTCTAAAAGTAGAGGTGACCCATTGTGGCCAGATGAAGAGAAAATACCGAGTTTGCAACGTTACTCGGCGACCAGCCAGTCACCAGACGTACGTGTACAGGCACTTTCTGATGATTTTAAAAATCTTGAGCCTATTAGATGTACTAGGTATATTGTTTATGCAAGAATAGTTGACTCTGGAGGCGAAGCAGCTCTGTGGCTTTACAAGAATGTTTAGTTTTAGTGGAGTAAAGGAATAGTGTGGGTTTAGACCACTGCTTTATTTCCTTCAACACAGGAAAATTGAAGCTGTATCCTGACTTTTAAATATAGTTATCAAAGGCTATGGTTTTTAAAATAGCTGTGAAAAACTCAGTATATAGTCTATAAAATCTTTTCAAATAGCAGAGATCCAGTAGCTAAGGGAAATAAATGTTGCCAATATTTTTAGTCTGGAATAGATTTTTCCATGCCATTTATTCCTTTTAAAAAAAAATAAGAATCTTGAAAAGTCTAACCAGAACAAATGTCCTTTATAGGTTTCCTCTGCAGCTGGAAAATGGGCAGGCTATGGAGTGTACAGTAGCTCAGTATTTTAAGCAGAAGTACAGTCTGCAGCTAAAATATCCTCACCTTCCCTGTCTCCAAGTAGGACAGGAACAGAAACACACATACTTACCGCTTGAGGTAAGAATCTGACTTTCTCTTGTGCTGCAGTATATCCTCCGTTAAAGGGTGTCATGCCACCTCTCCCTGTGTCTGTGTAGGTGTGTAACATCGTGGCAGGACAGAGATGTATCAAGAAGCTAACGGACAATCAGACCTCGACTATGATAAAAGCAACTGCAAGATCAGCACCGGACCGGCAGGAGGAAATCAGCAGACTAGTAAGTGTTTTTTCCAGCTAAACAGTCTGAATTCGTCACTTCCTGCAGCTCTTCCATCAGAGTGTGTGTAATGAGAAGCAGAATGACTGAGAACTGCTGGGGTTAAAAAAATCTCACTGCTTTAAAACAAATAATTTTAAATAGAAAGCCTCTTCATGGCGAAGAGGACAGAGCCAGCTGAAGCATCAGGTGTAGTTACATAAATCCTTTTCTTGTCACCAGGTGAAAAGTAACAGTATGGTTGGTGGACCTGATCCGTATCTGAAGGAGTTTGGTATTGTTGTCCACAATGAAATGACAGAGTTGACAGGCAGAGTTTTGCCAGCACCAATGCTGCAATATGGAGGCAGGGTGAGTTTTCCATCCCTTGTAAAATACCTTGTCCTGAGGTTATTTTAAATTTATTAAGTGTTCCCTATATCTTCTCACAAGACTTGCTTTGTATGAGCACTGTTTGGCTACAGGCAAAACAAAGCAGCATTTTATTTTCACTTTGCCTTTGGTTTTTACCTAGAACAAGACTGTGGCCACACCAAACCAGGGTGTGTGGGACATGAGAGGGAAACAGTTCTATGCTGGCATTGAGATTAAAGTTTGGGCTGTTGCCTGTTTCGCTCCTCAAAAACAATGCAGGGAAGACTTACTAAAGTAAGTATTCTCCTATTTATTCAGGATACTTATTTCAAAGTTTATTTTCCTCATGTTTCTGAAAGGTGCTATGCAATATCAGTTGATTTAAATGCATCTAATAGTAAAAAGAGGAATTTACAGTTCTGCAGTGTCTTAAATATTTACAGTTTGGGAGGAGACTATGACAAAGTTCATAACCTAATTGGCCAGTTAGGAAAAGTATTAATTCCCTACCCACTGAGGCTGTGTTCCTGCTCTGGCAGCTGCATTTCTGTTGTTGTTACAAATAACTGATGATGGTCATTCATTCTAAAACCTGATCTTTTTTTTTTCCTTAACTTTTCTGCCTCCCAGACAACATACACCACTTTTTTTATTCTCTGTCCTTCAAATTACTCTGCAGAATTCTGAAGACAGAGGTTGTGTGAACCACTGAAATGTTTGGCAAAAATTGTGGCTGCAATAAATTTGGTGGATGACTAAAAATCTACCAGAGCATCAGTATTAGTTTGGGAATCTGCCTTAGAATATTCAACTCAAATGTATGTTTGCTTCCCCAAGACTTCTGAAATTACAGAAACAGGGTTATGAAATATCCTCAAACAGGATCAGAATCTTATTACTGAGTTTCTCATAGTGATAGAACTGCTAAGAAATAGTTTCTGTAGTGTCAAATTGGAGGTGCTGTGAAAGAGCACTGAAATAGCTTGGATCTTGTTGATAAAATGAACAGCAAAGTGAAACACAGTGAAAAGACCACAGGACAAATCCATTTCTATTTCATTTACAGGAGTTTCACAGACCAGCTGCGCAAGATCTCGAAGGACGCGGGGATGCCCATCCAGGGCCAGCCCTGCTTCTGCAAATACGCCCAGGGTGCAGACAGTGTGGAGCCCATGTTTAAACACTTAAAACTGACTTATGTTGGTCTGCAGCTGATCGTGGTGATTCTACCTGGAAAGACACCCGTGTATGGTATGGAGGGGAGGCTGCAAAGTGCTAATCAGTTTGTAGAGCAAGTGGGCATCATCGTGTGTGCTTCAGCGGTAGGAAGGAGACAGAGCAGGCAATATGTTCTGTTTAAAAGGGGTTTTTGGAGATGGGTTTGTCAGGCCTGATTGGAATATTTGTATATTAGCAAAAGAGCCAAATGAACTGTTGTCAGTGAGCTTTTAAGGATCTGAATTACAATAACATTTTGGGGAAAAAACAAAGAGAAAGCAGATAGAACTTCTGACTGTTCAGGGAATTGGAACCACTAACTTATTTTTCTGTCACAGCTGAAGTCAAACGGGTTGGTGACACTCTTCTAGGAATGGCCACTCAGTGCGTTCAGGTAAAGAATGTGGTCAAAACCTCACCACAAACCCTGTCCAACCTGTGTCTGAAGATAAATGCAAAGCTTGGAGGAATCAACAATGTGCTTGTACCTCATCAAAGGTGAGATTAAATCTAAAGCTCTCCTTGAAGTCTGGATTGTCAAGCAAAACAGTGTAATTTGGGTTTTTTTTTTTGCTAAAATGATACCTTTGAAAACATTCTGTGCTCTAGAAGTACCCACAGCCTGAAGTGGATAGAGGGGGTGCTTCTGCACTCAGGCCCTTAGTCAGGGATCATCTCTGGGGTTAGAGCAGTCCAGCAGTGTGTGTGAGAACAAGCTCCCAGAGGCTGGTTTTTCCCATGTCTTTGTCCTGCCTTTGGGTTCATTCACTCTACCTTTTCCTCCTGCCATCTCCTTAAGCACACTGTGTTTCCTTCCGAATTAACAGAGAAGGGGTGAGGAAGCATTACTTCAAATAAGCACTTGTAACTTTGCCTTTAATCCTTTCCTTTTCACTTTCTGTTCTCTCTGGACTGCAAGAGCTTGAGAAAGAGAACTTCATCCTTCCAGATTCTGACAGGGTTTTAGTTCTGTTGAATGGTTTGGATACACCTTCCTCAGTTGTGTTTGTTTTTTTTCCTTCCTTACCCCCCTTCTTTAAATAATAACAGTAATAATACATTATTTAATAAACCTTAATCGTATTAAACAGGCCCTCGGTGTTCCAGCAGCCAGTGATCTTTTTGGGAGCAGATGTCACTCACCCTCCAGCTGGGGATGGAAAGAAGCCTTCCATAGCTGCTGTGGTCGGCAGCATGGACGGCCACCCGAGCCGGTACTGCGCTACGGTGCGCGTGCAGACCTCCCGTCAGGAGACCTCCCAGGAGCTGCTGTACAGTCAGGAGGTGATACAGGACCTGACCAATATGGTGCGAGAACTATTGATCCAGTTTTATAAATCCACTCGTTTCAAGCCCACGAGGATCATTTACTACAGAGGGGGAGTATCAGAAGGACAGATGAAGCAGGTATTGTCTGATGATGTCTTGTCGCTTGTGAAAAGGGATTGACCCTTGAAAATACATATATTTATGGGTCATGTTTCTTAAGGGGACAATTAACAGTTTAATTGAGTTTTCCTGGGTGAGCACAGTGTACAGTTAGTCCTGTCTGATCGTGTTCTTTATGAAGTGGCATTTGTACACAGAAAAAACTGAAAATAACATGTACTGAGTTCAACACCTAATAGTTAACTCCTCTACTTCTAGGTAGCTTGGCCAGAACTGATAGCGATCCGCAAGGCCTGTATTAGTCTGGAAGAAGATTATAGACCAGGAATAACCTACATCGTTGTGCAGAAAAGGCATCACACCAGACTGTTCTGTGCTGACAAAACTGAAAGGGCAAGTAATGTTGACTTCATAAGAAGGAGGTGATGGCAACAGGAAAGTAAGAGCGTTTGGTTAGGTGGGGTGGTGTCCATCTCTCCCACTAAAACTGAATTGATCTGTAAGAGCAGTAGGAGTTCTGTGCAGTAACGTGCTTTCTCTACCAAAATAACCCGTTCCTCCCCTTTTTTTATTGCTCTAGATCAAGCAGTCAGATGGAACAGCTTGTTCCCAGCCCCTTTGGGAGCAGGCGTGCTCTATATCCCTGTATTTGTCTATCTGGAGCTATAGTCTGGGATTCCTGACTATAAACTGAACTAGTTGTTCAGTTTGTTGCCTGTTCTGTCTCTTGATGCATCTGTAAGATTTGCCTGTGTCACAAATCCACAAGGCAGCTAAGGAACCTTCTTCAGGAAAGTTCTTGATCTCAGGTTTGCTTGAAAAATACAGATCTCTGGGGTGTGAGTGCAAGCAAGGGTATGAAATAAACTCTGAAAACTGGCGTTTTTAGATCCTGAATTACTTGTGTAGGCTTCATCCCACCCTGCAATTTTAATGGTACTGGCAAGGATTTTATTTTTCTCTGATGACACACCAGTTGGATTTGGTGAAGTTTCTAAAAATGAACTCACAGAGAACATTTTCATTCCTCCTGTGTAAATGACCTTGATATTTTTCCACCTTTTTGAGCAGTAAATTCTCAAAACAGCTTTCAGTAGAGCCTACCTTAGGAGGTATTTTTGGGTCACTTCCAAAAAAAACCATGGGCTAATAATAAACTTTCCTCAATAGGTGGGTAAGAGCGGCAACGTACCAGCAGGCACTACTGTGGACAGCACCATCACACATCCCTCTGAATTTGACTTTTACCTCTGTAGCCATGCAGGAATTCAGGTAACACTTCAGCTTTACTGTGCTCAGGCTTTGGGACTAAACCCTTATCGTTGTCCCGATGAGTAATGTTGCTTCTATTTATAGCTTGGCAGACTTACAGTCGCATCAGCTCAGTGCCCCCTTGGCACTTACTCTGCAGGGCACCGTTAGAAGGTACGGCCTTCACGTACCACCTCTGGTTTTGTTGCTGCTCTCCAGCTGACTGCTCATCTGTTCTCTGCAGGGAACCAGCCGGCCCTCCCACTACCAGGTCTTGTGGGATGACAACTGTTTTACTGCAGATGAACTACAGCTCTTGACCTATCAGCTGTGTCACACGTATGTCCGGTGTACGCGATCGGTCTCCATTCCAGCTCCCGCGTATTATGCCAGGCTGGTAGCGTTTAGGGCCAGGTACCATCTCGTGGACAAGGATCATGACAGGTAAGGAACTGTGCCTCATCATCTTGGTAGCCAGGTAATGGGCTGGAATTGCCGGGCTCGGCGCGGTTGCTCACAGTTCTCTGTGTATGTCTGCGTTTTTACAGTGCTGAAGGCAGCCATGTGTCAGGACAGAGCAATGGCCGCGACCCTCAGGCTCTGGCAAAGGCAGTGCAGATCCACCATGATACTCAGCATACGATGTATTTTGCTTGAGAGCATCTGGGAAGAATGAGACAAAACCAACAACCCCGTGCAGTCCTGAAATGTTTTGAATGCCTACTGCTCTAGCTAGGGCCCAGTTTATTTCAGGCTGCCCACTACCAGCAGCTCTGAACAGTCGCACTGAATCTGTACTTCACAGCAATGTCTGATGCACCAACTCAATTGAGCCATTTGTTTCATTGTTTTATGTAATAGAAATTCATAGACTTGTCTTTTCTGATGCATTGGACTGAATTTTTACCTCAAAGCGCAAAAGGCTGATCATCCTGAAATTTTTAAAGGACTTGGCACGAAAGGTTTCTATTGAATATTTTGCTAGCTATGGTTTTTAAGTTATCTTCTCATCCATCCCATTAGTTTATCACGACGACTGATCCCCCTGTCTTCACGCACTGCTTAGTGAGGATGAGTAGTATGGCAAGATGTTTTACTCCAGTTCAATGTAATTGTTCTATTGTGTGGGGCCATAGATTTTTTTAATGGAGATTTTAGACTTCACTACTGTAAATGCCTTTTAACGAACATAACTTTCACAGGTATTGCAGTTTTTTGTCAGTTTTAACTAATTATCTTTTTAATCTCTGCAGACTTTGGCTGCAAAGCAATTGCACTATACTGCGAGTTCAAATAGGTGGTTCTTGTTCTGTGAATGTGTAATATAACCAAGATAGTGATGCCTGTCAGTAGATTTTAATTATAATGGTTACAAATAATACTGCCATGGTATCGTAACAAGTACTGAACCATCATTTCCCCCCTCTAAAAATGAAAAAAAACAACAACAAAAAAAAAAAATTAGCTTTTAGGTATTTTGCAAACTTTTACAAAAGTGCCCACTTTATGCTGCTGTGTGGTTTGATAAATCTAAGTGATTTTAAAACTTTTTTCTCATAGAAGGTTTAACTTTGGCAATAAATATTTGTTTTTTAAGCCCCCCCCCAACAGTGTAATTTTCTAGCTGAGGATTGTGCATGAGTTTAACCAACATTCTCGTGTCGTTTTCTGAACACACAATTTGGCAGTTTCTGAAACTCAATTAGAAAAGACGCACTTCCATGCTTTTTTTAAGAATTATTTTTAACTGTTTTATATTCACTGTTGGTGTCCTGTCTACAACATTTTTTATAAGCTTGGAAACTGAGTGTTACGTGTAGGAAAGGCTTGCCAATCTGTACAGTCTAAATGTATCGTGTGACAGGCAACCTGAGGACTTGTACCAGCATTTTAAACGTGTTTTGTTTTTGCCCTGGGAATCGAGGTTGCGCACACAATTGCATCCAACAGCATGTTTAACCAACGTGAGTCTCGTATTCTGATTCTGTCCCAGCCTAGAAATTAGAGGGGTTTTGTTTTTTTTTTTAAATCTGCTTGGCTTTTTTCAGCTGCAATGTGTAATACAGCAGAGGGGCTTGGTTTCGCTGAATACTCTTGGAATCTATGAACATAGTACGTTAAGACTAGATTCCTCTTAGTGCTAACCAGAGGTAGTTAGTGCAGATTAAAAGCTTATTCCTAAACTGAGGAGAGCCAACTTGATAACAGGAGTTTGAGAAGCCCAACGATTGCACTGTGGTCTCTTGATACTCGTGTGGGGCTTGCTGCTAAGTTGTCTGCTGTTCCAAAGCTTAGGAACCAGCCCCCTCAAAATTTCAGCAATATGAAATGCTGTTTCCTTCAGTCTTTAAGCTTGTAAATAAATTAAAGTTTACATTTCTAAATGCTGGGGTTTTTTTTTCAGCTGTACCAGAGTACACTGAACTTAAGTCTTCAAACAGTTTTATAACCTTCTTTCGAGTAGTATGTCTCATTAAATTAAGTTTAAACTTTTTTCTGTTGAAAATGGGACTGAAGCAAACTCTGCTCCTGGCACATACTATGGACAGGGTTAGATTGAAAAAAAAAAATATATTCTTTTTAGTTTTTTTAAAATTTTTTTTTAAAGAATACCTCACTTATGTAATAAAATCAGGACATGTGGGTGGGAGACTGACCGCTGCTTCAGCTAGATGGCTGCTTTTCTCAGTACTCGTTCAGGGAGAATACAAAAAAAAACCCCTTTTTAGAATGAACTCTTGACTGACCCAGCACATGTGGAGAACTTTGGCACCTTGAAAAGAAACTGAGCACCCTTTTTTAGGTTCTAGGATCAAAGATCGCTATTTTGAGTTTGTGCACTAGGCAAGAATGTGACTGGTTTAATCAAGGGTGCATAAGAAATACTTAATTTTATCACCAGTCAGTTAATTGTCCAGTGCCAAGCACTCCTGGTTCGGATTGAGTGAAGCGAGAGCCTCGCCGTTGTTTGCCTGTGACTGGACTGGATATTTAACCTGAGACTATGGGGATGTTAGAGCTCAGCTCGCCCTGGGCTGCAGGGTGAGAGCCTCGACTGGCTAAAGCACCGCTGAGGGCGCGGTGCTGCCGCGGCGGGAGGAGAGCACCCGAGTCCAGGACCGCTGCGCGGCGGTGACGGTAAGATCCGAGTTTGGGAGATGCTGCCCTACACAGGGCTGAGTCCAAGGCTGGAGGTTGGGCTTGAGGATCTGGATGAACCCCTTGGGACTGACTGAATCGTTATGCATGTGTCAATCAATGGGAAGATGTGCATTCTTGTAGATGTAGTTTTTAGGGTGTTTTGATTTGTTTTGGTTTGTTTTTTTGTTTTGTTTTGGTTTTTTTTCCTTTTTAAATAAATACAGCCTGTTGGCCACTGTTTAGCTATGTGGTGTGAAAGATTTTAAATGTAGCAAAGTTTAAAGAGTTGGGGAAGGGGGTGGTTGACATTATTTTTTATTTTTTTTTAGAAAAAAAAAGGGAGGTGGGGCAGAAATCCCATTTTTCAAACCAGTTTTGCTTGCTTTGTGAACAGCTGAAATCTGAACAAGCTCTGGCACAATCGCTAGTTAGCCTGTCTCCAACATTTCAACAGCCCTGGCTTATTTATTCTCGTGGTGAGTGCTGCAGTTCAGTGTAGTTAGTGCCTGTCCCTGCATCCAAAGGGCGTCCGAGGTGGCGACTGTACCGGCAAAGACGCTTCACCCCGTCCAGCTCCCGTCTGGGCACGAGGGTCAGAGTTATTGAATCTCAAACCGCTTTGCTCTTCGGACAGGGGGGAAAAGGCACCTTTGTTCAGATCCAGCGTTTAACAAAACCCACCCCCTCCTCTTCCCCCCCAAACTACCTTTGTGGATGTGCTGTAGGGTTTTTCTTGCTCAATAGCAAGGGAGTAACTCTGCTTTCATTTTAGGAAGGCAGGGTTTGGAGGGCATTGTATCAATACTGCTTCAACTGCAAGGTTTTTTCCTTGTGCATTGGAGGAAAGATCTTGTAATATCACTTACAGATTTTCTTATACCTTGCTATTGACATTTTCATATTTCTATGTCTAGAGGCTTGAAACTTCAATGTAAAAAAAAATAAAAAAAAAATGTTTGCATTTGTTCATTTTGACTTAATGATGTAACTTTTGTTTCCTATATTGTTAGACTTGTAATGTTTAAAATTGTATTTTATTAAATTGGGACTGGATGTATGTCTATAGCAATACGAGGTACTCTTTCTAAACTGTTATGGGTGGGTTAGCAGCCCCATGTTGCGATAAGATGCTGGTCGTGTACAACTTGCAATGTATTTCTCTTATTTTTTTTCTTCTTCTTTTTTTTCTTTTTTTTTTTAGCCTGCAGGGATATTTTGTGTTCATGTGTCCAAAAATAATAATAATAATAAAAAAAAAAACCCTATTGGCATTCTTGTGCCAAACATGCTGTTTTTCCTTGTTGATGTCTAAATAAATGCAATGTACAGAGTGAGCAACCGCTACTGTTGCCTGTAAACAAATGTCTTAAATTATTTAACTTTTAATTAAAACTTGTACATAATGAGGAACCTGTGGAACTCTCTGCCACAACATATTTATTTCTGATGGGCTAGGACTTAGGAAGTGATAGAAGTAGACATGGGTGATATCTTGGGTGATAGGGGAAGGGGAGTTTAACTTCCCTCTGCTCAGAGCCTGGGGAGATGGTCAGAATTGGTGGTTTTTTAATGTTCTTGCAAATTCTGTAGCAATGTGGAGCAGAAAGCACCGTGGCAATAGATTGTACCTGCCTGGAGAAGCCATGGGAGAGTCCCAAGTTAGTGAATGAAGGAGCCATTCGCTTATTTCAGGTCAGGGTTTGTCGTTTCCCAGCTCGGGGGGTTCTGAGCTCACACCCCCCCTCGATGCTGCAGGTCCCTGTGAGCGCAAAATGGGGGAAAATGGGACATTTCTGCCCAGTTTTGCTGGTTCAGGGCACTGGGGCCTCAGGGGGCTCCTGGCCCGTGTGCCCCAGAGAACTGTGGCGATGGAACAAGCTGCCACCACCAGCACTGAGCCCCCCTCGGCCCGGCAGCGCAAAATGGGTCAAAAAACGGAAAATAACGCAAAAAAAGGAAAACAACCCAAAAAAAAGGGCAATAACCCTAAAAAAGGTCTCACGGCGGGCAGGCCTGAGCGCCGGCGGTTGGTGCTGAGCCGCTCCCGGGTGGAGGCGACGCCCCGGCTCGGACCCCCTGCGGGGACACCCGCTCCCCTGCGCACCGGTGTGTCCCC